GCGTACAGTTCGGACTAAAGAAAACTGCATAATATAGCTTGCTGTGGGAGTGAGAGGCAAGAGACTGAGGAAAAGCGGCAGGGAAGATAGCCGAGTGGCGGTAGAAGTAGAATTAGTCTGAGCGATGGACAGGGGAGAGAAGGGGATGTACGGGAGGGGGCGAAGTAGCCGTTTTGCACCCTACAGGATAGGGCGCTCTCCTAATCATAAACACAGGCGTACTGATAACAATTAATTTTAAAAAATCTATGCTGAGATACCCCCTAACCATATTAAATGCATATTTATCAAAAAATATAGCTCAGGTGGTAAGATATTGTACATGTATCAACACACTAACTTACACAGATTATGGACTTACTGGCATATGCAGAGGGCACCTTACATGAAAGGTCTTCTTCCTATGTCTTAAGTGATGTCTATTGATAGAATGTTATCATATAAATCCATGCTGTGATAACACCTCTACATTTTAAATGCATAATCTTTGCAAAATTTGATTTTTTTCGGGAGTCATTGCGCATGCGCGAACACCGTTTTAAATACAGTTCGAACTAAAAAAAACTGCATAATATAGCTTGCTATGGGAGAGAGGGGTAAGAGACCGAGGAAAGGCGATAGGGAAGATAGCTGAGGAGGGGTAGAAGAAGAATTAGGCTGAGCGATAAACAGGGGAGCCAAGGGGAAGTACGGGAGGGGGGGAAGCAGCCGTTTTGCACCCTAACGGATAGGACGCTCTCCTAATCATAAACACAGGCGTACTGATAACAATTAAATACAAAAATCTATGCTGAGATACCCCCTAACCATAATAAATGCATATTTATCAAAAAATATAGCTCCGTTGGTAAGATATTGTACATGCGTAAACACACTAACGTACACAGATTATGTACTGACTGGCATATGCAGAGGGCACATTACATTAAAGGTCTTCTTCCTATGTCTTAAGTGATGTCTACTGATAGAATGTTATCATATAAATCCATGCTGGGATCACACCTCTACATTTTAAAGGCATAATTTTTTCAAAATTTGATTTTTCTCGGGAGTCATTGCGCATGCGCGAACACCGCTTCAAATACAATTCGGACTAAAAACTGCATAATATAGCTTGCTATGGGAGAGAGGGGTAGGAGACCGAGGAAAGGCGACAGGGAAGATAATATGCAAAGATGCAATGACTAGAATGTTATTAGAAAGGAATGTAAGCAAACCCTTGCTTCTACAGCAAGCAAAATAGACGGGCAATCGAACACCCTACGTACGTATTCTTTTCGGTAGATCAACCTTCCTTAAAAGCCCATGGATGATCTACAAAAAATTCAGCTGTGCAATTTCTTATGATTGATCATATGTGAATAATTTCGTTAGAAGTGCTAATTATTATTATTGGTTGGCGTTCCCATTCTCGTCTCAAAGAGGTAGTTCCAGCGATTATGTGGAGTAAATGTTTCGAAAGAATCACGCTAGTAGCATGCGCATTAGACGTTTTCCTGCAAGAAAATAATACTGTACAACAGTTGCAGCGAAATTGCGGGAACGTACACACCCACGCACGCACACACGCAGGAACGCAGGATCGCGCGCACACGCACACACATGCATGAGCGCACACGCAGGCCCGAGCATGCCAATGAGATGTTGACACGAAAATGGTAACTATATTACTTGTGACAATATTAGGCCTACTCTGTCATCGTTATTATTGTCACACGGCAATAAATTGTTTGCAGTCGCCCTTTCAGCGTTATTACATAGGTCAAACATTTCCCAACACTAACCTTTGGCAATTTGCCAAATGAGCACCGCACGGCGCACACGCGCCGTAATCAGTTTTATGTCAGGCGATTTCACAACGAACTTAACTGGCTTGGTATTTAATCGTACTCGCGGCGGCCGCGGATAACCACACAAACTTTGGAAGCAGATATTAAATTTTTTTTAGATATGCACACGGCTCGACAAATATTTGGAGCGGCAGTGAAACGACAGCACTATGCGTCTACGCGCACCAACGTCAAGTGGTTCTCTATGCTCACGTACACACTACCCGGCGCCATAGCGCTGTTTCCATGTTGGCGGTCACGCAGCTGCTACGACGGGTAGCACCAGGATGCAGAACGCTAGTCATACAAGCCGCGACAGAGTGAGAGAATACCTCGAGAGGCTGAGCAGGATGAATCTCTCCGCGGAGGAAGAGAATGCCATCATCGGTGCTACGGGTTTCAGGGACATTCTGGACATTCCTGACCCGCATCTCACGTTTGCGATCGTCATTCCCGTCGTGCTCGTCGTCGGCACGGTGGGTAATGTGTTGAACCTGATCGTGCTGCGCAGCAAGCGCGTTCGCTTCTCTAACGGCCTGCACATCTTTCTGTCGGCAATGGCCGTCGCCGACATCGTCGTGCTGTGGAGTCACGCGCCGGCGATCTTTGTCGATCTCTTCTGCGGGAACTTACCTCTTGCTAATATCACCCTCATACGCTTTCTCATGGCGATGGAGCTCTTCAAACTATCGAGTAGGTTTACTTCGACGTGGATGATGGTCGCCGTTTCCGTGACGAGGTGCTTAGCGTTGACCTATCCGGCACAGGCTAACCGCCTGGTCACGCATAGGCGTATACGTTGCGTTCTCGTCGCTATCGTCATCGCCGGGATTGCCACCGCCACGCCGGAGGTTGCAGGCACCAGCTTCACGGTTCGAAAGATGTACGGAAAAATCGACGTGGTGGTTGTCGCTTCTACGAGTTTCGGAAGGAGCTACTACGCGGCCGTGATACACCCGATAATGACGTCGGTGTTTGTGTTCGTGATACCTTTCGTCTTCTTATTACTCACCAACACTTCGATGGTTATTAGTGTCTGGAAAGCGTCGCGGCGTCGAAGGGTTTTAGCGTGCACGCACACGAAAACGAGCAAGAACGAGACGAAAGTGACGATTCTGTTGTTGACGATCACCGTCTCGTTTTTTCTGCTCGAGCTTCCCGGATGTGTGTTCGAGATGTTCCACGCCGTTCACGGAACAAACGGGCGGATGTTCTTGAAGGCCGACATGACGATCATAGACATGCTCGACTGGGACGCTTTTCAGGACTATGCGCACGTCAAGTACGTCATTGATTGTTTCTACATCATAGCCGTGTCGATAAATTTCATTTTATTCTGTTTGGTCAGCACCAGGTTTCGCAGGGTATTTAAGGAAATGTTCTTCGGACGATGGTTGGATATCAGCGAATCGTCAGTAAATAGAAATGTCGCGAAGAAAAGCGAAGATGACGCCATCTGCAGTAGCCGCAGCGATGCCTATCGTGAAACCTCTCGAACAATAACTGTGAGGCTATAGCTTGCATCCATTTATGAACAGCTTAGTTTGTGCTAACTGCGCGATATATATATATATATATATATATATATATATTTATTTATTTATTTATGTATAAGTATTAAGTATAAGTATAAGATTAATAATAATCTATGGAGTATTTACTGCAATAAACAATTAAGCTAAAAGATACTTTGTTGGAAGTTCAGAACTAAATGAAATTCTAAACATCATATAAATCTGTAATGCTAATATGGATGCTTAAATCTACTGTCTATTAATGCATTTTTGAGAAAAATTGCAAACAAACAATACTGTGTATTTCCTTTAAATAAAAACTGATGTTAATGATAATTAAATCCAGCAGATTATGCAGAATTTAAATCATGTTGATGTTTTAGTGAAATGTATAAGTACAATGGCATACTGTTCATTGATGAACGCGGAAACTAACACGTTAGACTTTTAAATATCCATAAACAACTTTTATTATTGTCTGGACTCAGCTTTACAATATTAACGTTTCGTGATCATTAAAAAGGAAATATTACGAAATGGCGCGTAGCACGGATTACGTATAAAATCCCCTACCTCACATAGAACACGACATGCGACTCCCCCATACATAATTGTGATCAAATTTCAGATGACCAGCTTTTAATTTATAAAATGGCATTTCATACCACAATCACATCTACATTTACGATATCGTGAATTTACGTATACGTGTAATGGGAAAACACCAATTTGGAAAACTACCGTTTGTGGTATCAGGTGTAAGCTGTAGATACCCATGGACATTATGCGATGACTTGTACACTTCGACCTGCACCGTTACCCTATTCACTCGGCATATATTTAATTTGCGTATATTGGACGTGTATGCTCTAAACATATCAAATATATCAACTATTTTTAATTATATTAAACGACTAAATAAACAGACTAGTCATTTCCCAAGGATATTTGTTCACACAATTAGGGTTTCTAGAAAATTATCAGTTATTTTGCTAATAATGATCGACGATCGGGTCTAATGAGGCACTGCTGCCAACAGTAAACTAGCGAGTATGTGTTGATTGGCGATGCAGGGGGAAGCTCAATGTGCATAAAGTGAACGTTGCTGTTAGCAACACTGTGATTTACCATACATTCGCTTACCTACTCCCTCGGTTTTAACGACTCCAGCTACGCACAGTCTACGCAGGTAGGGCCAGTAAATAGATTCGGGAGAGGGAAGTCAGTAATGGGAAAATGGAAATAAACGACATAGATTCACATTCATCACGCACACGCCGTACGTTACCCGTACTACCTACGTTGCCAGAAACAAAACTACTCTTAACATTAGTCTTAATTTTATGATAATACTGACAACCTGGCCTTCCTTATCTCCTCTCCCCTAACCCCTTTATTTTATACCTCTCTCGCGCTATCTCTCTCTCTCGCGCGCTATCTCTCTCTCTCTCTCTCTCTCTCTCTCTCTCTCGCTCGCCCTCTCCGTCTCTCGGCGTGTCTCCCCATTTGCACGTAATCAACTGCATGGATCTAGTTTAAAAACGAGTCTACACTATTTTGTCATCGAACGATTTTGCCGTGAATGAAACCTTTAGAAGGCGCGATTAAACTATAATGACTTGCGCATGCATGCAGCGACGACACCCCGCTTGCAGACATGTATTACGCATACGCAGCACACGCGAGATTCATATAACCTCGCTAGCAGTGACGCACATAGACAGCAAGGAACAAGCAGCAGTAATGGCTTCTTACGTATATACGGTTTCACGACGTACAATGGCCGTCGTTACGACGTGCTGAAATTTGCTTTCAACCAAATTTGATACGGAACGACTCGTCTGCACCGAGAAAACCCATGCGGTGCGAGTAACCACGGAGCTAAAATTACGGGTTTCCGGTATATCCGACGAAATGAGGATGGCCTTTCATTATAAACTCACTGAACAAGGTCAGTGGCTGCATGCAGGTTACCGCGCCATTTGTGTCCGTGTCTTCCCAATAGCCACAGAGAATTCAGAGCTACTATAGCAGCACATAAAACGCCCACAAGAACAACACGTATATAGCTAACACTAACACCACACATTTGTCGATTCTAAACGTTATTTACATCCTCTTTAAGAAATATAACGAGTCGTCGTGCGTTTACTCGTGCATGCGGCTGATCGCCGCACAGCCACGTCCGTCACCCGCTCGACGCGAAAACTGGACAAACACACACACACGCACGCACGCGCACGCACGCACACACACACGCACGCACGCGACCGCCACACACATTACACCACCGCGCGGCACAACACACACACACGACACACACACACACACATACGCCCCCACACCTACACAAACACGCATATCAAAAGTCTGGCGGCCGTGCGTCAAACTTGCGTCGGCGACGGTATCGGCTTGAAAGTGTTCATGAAGTTGAAGTGACACTCGGCGCCCTGCTTCTCTTTCTCTCCGCGATGCAGGAACGTCTCCTCGGCCGGAGAGCTACGGCTCGAGCGATGCATGCGGATCGAGCCGCGCCGCGGACTGTGGTGCATCGCGAGTTCCCGTATGTCGTACCCGGATGGAATCGGCGATGGCAGCGATAGGTTGGAGCGGTTCATGCGCGACGTGCGCATCATGTTTGGAGAGTGGTCGAGCTGGCGCAGCTGAATGTTCGGATCCTCGAGAGCGACGCTTCGGGAGACTTGCGACGCCAGAGATGACGATGGCGATGATGAGGGCGAGCATGAGTAGCGAGCCGGCGACGCAGAATGCGATCCATGCCGCGGCCGAAGTAGCCTGCAGCGTGAGGAACGTGTGCTGAACCAACGGTGATTTAAAACAGCGCAGGTATACAGGGAGTTCCCGGGGGAGTATCTGCAGCGGGAAGGAACGTGTGATGACAACGGTGATTTAGAGAGCGCAGTAATCACAG